AAGCAGGGTCGGGAGTGCTAGAGTTGCGTCGATCTGGGATGGAATGTTGTTGAGAGCATTCAGGCCTAGGACGGCGACTGCATCCCACATAAGAAGGCCAGATGCAGTCAGGTCGGGAAGTGGAAATGGGGTCAGATGGTGGAAGGCATCGGTCACATGCACATAGAGGGATAAGGGCGGGCTTGTTATGGAAGCATGGAGTGTAGTCAGAGGTCGATCGTGAGATGAAGAACTGGAATCGGCTCGTGAGAGATCGGGCTCGACACCTGAAGCGAGATCGCCCAAACAAAGTGGAGTGTTGTTGGGGCCCGAATCGTGCTGGAGGGTTGGACGATGTTTAGCAACCCGCTCTCCCTCAACGAAGTTAATATCAGCAATGGAATCTAAATTGGAATCGGAACCGGCATCCAGCTATGGATCTACAGGGGCCGTAGGTAAGAGAGCAAAATCGAGCTGGAGAGCGGGAATGGTCACGAGTTCCGATGGCAGGTGCTGGGTTGGATTGTGAAGAAATGGAAGCAGAAAATAGAGACGAATCATCGATCTCTCTATCGGACTTCTGCTGTGATGGTGAAGGGTCGGAGACGACATTGGGAGTGCGGGATGCAGGTCGTGTGTGGATGTTGTTCTGGACAGGAGACAAAGCGGGATTGCGGACAAAAGGGCCGGACAGGGGGTTCCGCCATTTGAGCGGAAGTTCGAGCGGAGGGTAGTCATCAACCACGGTGGGAGAATGGAGGGACTGATGGCGTTTGCGTGAAGCGGATGAGGAGATCGAAGAAGAAGAAGAATACATCGGTATGCTTGCCGACGACATTCGCATATTCCTTATTGCCCGAAGGTTCTTGTTGATCCGATCCAGTGAATCCTTCACTTGAGATTGATAGAAGGCGATCCGGCTTCGAGCATCGTCGACAACCCACCTTCCTTGGTGTTGATCGTCGTCGACCGCCAATCTTATTTTGCGGCTTCGATCGTCGTCGACAGCCGACCTTCCGCAGTCCATCGATCTTCACAAGCTCCAGGCTCTGATACCAACTGATGTAGTGGATCATCGAAAGACTCAACCTGCAAGAAGGATTTTGTTTTCCCAATCCAGGGAAGAAGAAGAAGACAAGCTCTAAGGCTTCAAAGACTAAAATATTTCATTCAATGAGCTTTCCCTACTACAATGCATACATATATAACACATCTATAGAATATTCTAGAGAGACTTGTAACAAACTAGATAAGTTATTCCTAAGGAGAACTATTAGCTATAATGTTCCACATCATAACTACCGTCATCTGCCGACGTCGTTTGTCGACTACGGACCTTCTGACATTCATCTCTAGACATTTTCTGACCATCGTTGCCCGCTGACTATAGTCCGTCTGACCTCCATCTTCTGATAATGATCTTTCTGACTTTGAACGAACACAGATTATGGTCCTTCAGACCTCCATCACATGAAAACAGTCTTTCTAACCTCCATCACTTGCTGACTATAGTCCTTCCAAACACCGCCACCCGACTACGATCTTTCCATGCTTCATCGCCCGCCGACTATGGTCCTGCCGACAAAACGAACATGCGATTCTTCCAATTCCCACCATGTAATGCACTCTATATGATGTGTATTCACTACATCAAGCCAAGGCCTTCCCCCCCAAGGAAGGGCCTCATTTGTAATCGACTGCAAACACTATTGGATTCATTCAAATGAGGTCAAGCCCCGTAGTTTTTCTCTCTTTTCAGAGATTTCCGCATAAAAACTCCAGTTTCTTTTATGAATGCTGCACCCCATCTTTTATCTATATGCATGCTGAATTTGTGTACAAAGCTAAAATGCTAAACTTTATAATTCTCTACTGCCGCAAATATTTCAGGACGCAACAATGTCCATGCTTTAAATATATTTTAAAAAATTTTAAAGGATCTTATATGGTCTTCATCAAGAGTAAGCCTAGTTATAAGTCCCTTTGTTCCAGAGCCTTGGCAAGGGTTTGAGGTCTTGGTGGAGTAAGTTATGAATGGGCTCACGGTCTGAAAACACTTGTGTAATAGAGGAATATTTCTACTTTGAACTTGGAATGTTTCACAAACTTTTAAGGGTTTGATAGGCTAAATGAGGTTAAGAACAAAATTCAATTTTTTTCACGAAAAGTTTGGACAATAACCCCCTTTAGGGTTGTGGATAGATTTTTGTGGGTGAATTATCAAGGAATAATGGTGCAGATTAGTGAAGGAAGGTTTGCAGATAATTTGTATAGAAAATGATAACAAATTACTTGAGATTATTACACACCAAAGTGAAACTGAGAGTAGAGATCACCGAATCTTTTATAGGATTTAGTCGACCAAGCCTAATATTGCATGGATTAAAATTTCAAAAATTTAGAAAACACACATTAATCCTTCCTTTTTCATTCTATCAAAATATTAGTTGTTCTCTTACACCAAAGAAAATTCCTAAGAAAATGGAGAGGAAATTAGGTACCTTATGGACTTTTGTGGGGGTTAAAACAATCACAATTATGCATATTAGTTTAATTTGGAGATATTAGTGGTGGTTATAGCCATTGCAAATATGATGCTTTGTGGAAGTTATAACCGCTACAAAATCTGCTACTTCGTCAAATCTACTCCGCCGATCATTAAACGCTGCGGAATGCTGTTGCGGCCCATAGCAATTACAATAGGGGTGCAGTGGTTTCAGAACCGTTGCAAAGAATTTAATGGCGGCTATAACCGCTAGGATAGCTCAAAAATTGTGTTGCGATAGCCTTTTTTTTTTGTAGTGGGTGAAGGCCTGACAAATGATTTGTGGAAAAAAGAAGGAGACATTACATGTTGTAACTACCCCTCAAACATGAGGGCCCCCCATTCTTAAGTAGGAATTAATTAGTTAATTTATTTTAAATAAATTAGCTAATTCTCAAATAATTTTATATAATATTCCCTCAATTTTTAAGAATCCTAACTCAAAATTTAAATTTTATATTATAAATTTCAAAATTCAAAAATTGAAATTAAGAAATTCAAAGGGTTGGAAATGTCCAAAATCCAACCTTACAATAACTTAGTCTTATGCATGACAACCATACATCAATTAAATTGCTAATCATAATTAAATATTTTTATTTAGCTTCTTATAGGATTCTAGTGGTAGTCTACTTCGTCCTCTTTTAGTTCTTTGTATAGAGGTGTCAATAAATGACCTGATTAGTCAACCCGACCCAAAAAATCTTGATATGAGTTTACTAGCTTAAAAATTGGGACAAGTTCGACTTGGGGTTTCCAGTCCATTTATTAAATGAGTTGGGTTCGAGTTAATCCACAAATTCGTTTTTAACTCAAAAAATAACTTGTGTAATACAATTTTTTCTTAATATTTTTCCTTGTGAGTATAATCTTTTTATTTTGGATCAAATATCATACAATTTATAGTTAATAAATTATTAATTATGTTAACCAAAATGGGTAAACAGGTTGGTTTTTGATTATTCGCCAGCGGGTTGGGTTCCAGTTAATCTTTTTGACCCATTTATTAAACAGGTCGGATTCAGATTCACTGAATCAGATAAAGTCAACTTTGGGTTAGATCCAAACTCTACCGGTCAACCCTAATAAAAGAAATATCATGCATTTGCGGACTATCTTTGTGGTTATTTTAAAATTAGAACTAATTTTCAATGCCTTGATTTATAGACTATGCTCATTTATCTAGTTATTCACATTAAAAATCTTTTATTAGATAAAGAGTTAATAAACCTCCACTAATTTAGACAAACTCTTTGATAGATGACATAGTTTATCGCTTTTTAGAATCCATCACAATCATCCATTTTGAGCACAAATATTACAGTCTTAATGCAAATACTTTTCAAATAACATACTCTAAACATAAAAAAAAAAAAATATTTCAAAACTAGTATTTACATAATAACAAAATTAAGTTGTTAATATTTATGAAAAGACCTTCAAATTGCACATATTAATTAATGGACAAAACATCACAAACTAGCTACTATATTCACCCTTATATATGATCGGTGATCCTTATTCATTCAAGATACAATTAGCAACTCTCCTATTTTAATTTCTTATTCCCACATAATTCAAATTACTGCAAGGCAATTAAAGCCACACCCATGAACGCACCAATGCCTGTTCCGATCGCCACCCGCCCGACGCTTGACTTGACTTTACCATCTTCCGCTCCCTTCGGCGACTCTACCTTTGACGAATCTGTGGCCGGTGCTTCAGTTGGAACAGGTTTTGGTACTGGCGCATTGATGACTGGAGCGACAGGTTTGATCACTGGTGCATCCGCCTTGGTTGGAGCAGGAGGAAATGATGATGGTGGAGTATTGTTATGATGGGGGCCATCGATGCCTGGAGGGTCGAGGTCTGAGTTGCTATGGATTACAGATATGCTGTAGGGTCATGCGGCAATTTGCCCCACTAATTTTGCGACGTGGTGGGCGCCAGAAGCTGCAGAGCTGAAGGCGATCTGCCCGTTGGCAAGCTTGGTTATATTGAGGAAGCCAGTTCGGCCTTTGGCTATGCCAGAAGTTTGGAAGAGGGTGGGGACGATGGTTGAATGGCTCTTGAGGTTCTGGAGCTTTTCGCGGTCAAAGTAATCGAGGATGACATGGACGGATAGAATGCGGCGCTGGATATTAGGGCTAAGACCAATGAGACCGCCAATGGAGTCATTGGATACGGCGAGGACGGTGATGGAGTGGCGATGATTGATCTTTTTGGCGAGGTTGGTGGATGAGAGGAGAGAGTTGAAGATGGAGAACTTGGGGTGTTTTGAGAGGATGCGAGTGATGTTGTGGGCTGATGAGGAGGAGAAGAGGAGGGTGATGGTGAGGAGGAGGAGGAGGGATTTGATTGCCATTGTGGAGGTGGTAGAGGGTGAGATGATGAATGTAGGGTTTTGTAAATTAGGTAAATTGGGGGAGGGAGATTTAAAATGGATGGGATGGAGAAGAGGGAGGGAAGGTGAGGCTATGCAGGAGGTGATAGTTATTATTTTTGTGCTTTGTCTGGAAGGGAAGTCTGGTATATCTTTTGTTTTCTTTTGGACGGGAGTTAGATTTGTTCTTGGCCCTAAGATTAAATAGATTAAGGTGCTGATCTCATTCTATTTACACGATCATTCAAACAGATTTAGTTTTAAAATAAAACAAATTAAATATTCAATTATAGTTTTTTTTTTCTGTTCTTAGTTCTTACTATTTTAAGAAAAATCAATTGTGCTAATTTTCTGTCCACATCCTTGCAAGATCTAGAAGAATGTAAAAAAAAGGTAAACGATTATTAAAAAAATAAGCTGAAGTTATTGTTTTGTTAGAGTGATTAAAATCATATTAATAATTATATTTTTTAATGAATATGATAAAAAAGTACTCATACTTCTAAAGTTCTCAAAGTTGGATTGATTTGCTAAAATTTTAGGACTCCGTAGAGATACTTCTCATCAACATTGCTCAAATATGCTCTTTTTTTTGGGACATTTAGGCTAATTAGACGAACTCATACACACATCACATACACTAGCTTCGAATCTATGACCTCTTATATGATTACATGGCATGAAATGATTATTTTTTTTGGTAATGCAGTTGAAACACTTATATCACTTGTGAATTGGAGAGTATCTAATGAACACCCGACAAACTAATTTGGGTGGGAGTTTGTAACGTCTAAAGATCTAAATTAGAAGAATTGTATGTTTTTAGCCCTAATTAATCTTCCAGAACCACTAATTTTATTTTATATCAATTAAACCAGAAAAAGCATTATTATATCAAATCATTTCTCTCTCTCTCTCTCTCTCTCTCTCTCTCTCTCTCTCTCTCTCTCTATATATATATATATATATATATATCACTATTCAATCAATAACTTTCATCTATTACAATCCCTCTAGTTAAAAAAATGATATAACAAAATACAATAAAATAAACTAAATCTATAATCTGACTTTGATCAATCTCACTCAACTGGTCCCCTTCATGAACCTAAAGTCAATCAAATACACATGGTACACACCCCAAAAACAATCAAAACCTATCACTGTATTCAATACGAGGTACTAAGAATTACTATACATGCTTAACTCAATCAATATAAAGTTAATTTTAATGATCATTATTATGAAATCATCGAATAATATCAATTCATCAATAAAAATTTAATAGGATCATTGAAGCAAAAACATCTCAAGAAGCATATGAATCCATTATAAATTCAATAAAAGTATAAACATATAAATTATTTAACAAGTACATTTTATATATCCTCAAAAACTATATTGATCGGGCACGAATCTCGAGGCAAAATAAATCTGGAAACCTCAAAAATTAAATTCGGGATCATTTGAACTCCGATTTCAGCAAACTTACAGTCAAATTGAGCGTCTCAAAAATACGAACCCAATGCCACCAAATTCAACTCAATATGAGCCCAAATGCGTCCAAATCAAGGACCTATAGCACTGTTGGAAAGTTTGTATCACAATTTAAGTTACCAAACAATCTCTGAACTTGACAAGCTTATGGTTGAATCGAGCGGCTCGACGAGACAAATCAAACGAGCTCAAGATCACCAAATTTCAAAGTCATTAAGACCTTCAAATGCATGATAAACGGTCCACAATCGAAGGATTCAATATAGGCCGTTCATCTGAACCACTCCATATTTGCCCCTGATCTCTCATCTATTTACACGTCATGCTAATCAAGAAAATCTATGATAGACCCCTCATTTCTCTTGAGAGGGGACCCAAGTAAGAAGAAGAGAAGAGAAGGATAGGAGGGAATAACTTCTCCTCGACCATCGTCGGAGTTTTGCCCGATGCCCGAGTGACATCAGAATTCTGCCGGACTCCCGAGTGACGCCGTAATTCTGCCCAAGTGACGCCAAAATTCTGTCCGATGTCAAAGTAACGCTAGAATTCTACCCGACGCCCAAGTGACACCGAAACTCCCCGATTTCCAATTAAGTGACATCGGAATTCTAAGCGATTATGTTTTCATCATCTTCTGATCGTAGTTAGAAACTTAAAACTTTAATTTTCAATGATTTTGCATTTATTGATTTAATTTTCTAAAAAATAATAAAAAAAATATTTTATCATGATTTATCGCACTTTTAACATGTAAATTTTTCTAAATGACATATATGATTGACATAAATATTATTGTAATATCATTGAATTTCATCGGGTAAAATAAAAGTTATGATTTTCTAAAACTATAGACTAACATAAATTTTTTCTGTATTGTATAGATTCTTGTAGTTCATGTTACATTTCATATATTAAAGAAAGATTGATATTATCTATTCAAGATAAATTTGGCATTTGCATGTAAGCAAGATATGCTGATTATTAATATTATAATTAAAATGAGTTAGTTCTTAAAATATAATATTTTGCACAGGAGGGTGGGCCGACGGACTTTCCTTAAAATAAAAGTTTTGTGGTGTGATCCTACCTATTGTCCGTAATTAATTGACCGAATTATGCCGATAGATAGAGGGTGTCAACTCTTAAATAATTATTAAAATTTACATGTGAATTGACTTAAGATAATGAACAAAAATGATAAGATAAAAATCGATGACCAATTGGTTGATAGTTAGGGTTAAATTGAAGATTGATAGACTCAAAGCGATATTTTGTATCCATTTCATGCATCATACATAGGTAAAGATCCCTATGTGTATCCACGATGCTGCTTATAGGTGTATAAAATAAGAAATTTAAGTCCAAATTTTGATTGTCATATCATCTATCTTGGATTGTTTCCTACTTGAGATTACATTTTGATAGGATAAATATGTTGTCTTCTGAATGAATTCAATGGATTAGATTACCCATGATAATCTATCTTCTATTGGGACTAATGGCATCGTGACTGTAATTGAGAGTGGGTAATTAATATTGCGAAGTATTTGATGCTCTATTTGTATAAATAGTTGAAGCAATAGCATGATATAGTTCTTTCTCTCTCACATATATGATAAAATATTGATACTTTTTTTTTATCACATTTGAAATGACTTTGTTATTAAAAGAATATAAGGCGGATGACAAATATAATAAGAAGTGTTGCGTGTTAGAAAATACGCGGCGGTAGAGTTTGT